TATGGCTGTAATGTTTCTATAGTGAATGTAGATAAGTTATCTACGTTCACTCCCAAAACGACGTCGTTTTGGTTTGAAAAATTAAAAAATTATAATGATAAAGACTATTATAACCCTAAAATAAATTATAATTACAAAAAAAAAAAACATTGATTTTCGTTCCAAAACAACATCATTTTGAGCCTCAATGTAGATAACTTATCTATATTGACCGCAGAAAAAATGAATCTTATATGTTGCATTCCTAAAAATATCTATATATATATAAAGGGAAACAAACACAAAATATAAACACGATCATGATTATGTAAAATTATACATGAGATAATCCATTCCTAAAATGAAAAATAAAATAAAACGGATATTTACAAATTATAGACATTATATTGTGTTTGATTTTTTTATTATTATTTTTTTAAATATTTCAATCGATTCAACATTTCGCGATTAGTCCGATTCGGGTTGGGTTCCGAAAGTAATGCTTTAAATGTCTCCCAAAGATAGTACTAAAGAGGATCAAATATATACTCTTACTCTCAGCTCTCACCTGCTTAGTTCCTTGATACTAACTGAACTACCATTATTTGGTTAATGTTTGATTTTTTTTCTAACGGATGTGAATATGAATTTGTATTGGTATAATGTTACATTTGTTCCGTGTTAGGTATAAATTATAATGTTGCATTTTCTTTTCAAACTATTGATTATACTTTTTACGTATAAATTTATAATGATTATACCATGTAGAAAAAATATAACCATATAATCGAAATGTTAAACATGGCATATTCGCATTAACTTTGAAGTTCTGTATACAAGAAAAGCCAAAAGTAACATAAAAGTAATACATATGGGCTATATAATGCCGAAGATCTTCTTGCATGATCGATTATAACTATAGTTAGTGAGTTTATTGTAAATCTTGTCCATCAACTTGGTTCATCAATTTTTTGTTCCATGGTAGTTATTGTAGAAAATCATATTTTATATATTCAATGGTCCAATAGGCTGAAATTATAACATATACAAGTATTTTAAATAATGGTAGCTAAGTTGGCGCATAGGAGCTGAGTAGGTGATGATGAGAGCATGTGTTCGATTCTTCCCAATACCATTTTTGAAAGAGGTTTAAAGCCTTAATCTTTGTTGAGATATTCAAGTGTGATGAGTCTCACATTGATTGGTAATTTGTTAAGTAAAAAGTATATAAGTGAATGGATCCATAAACTCAATGCCTCAAGGTTTTGGGTTGAGATGTGATGTTGAACTCACTTAATGTATTTGGAGCTAACTTAGCCCATTAGTGGTGGTTCTTCGCCATGAGCTTCCCCTGAACCCGCTTAACAATTTTGATTTTGGAAGATAAATGTGCCTTAACCAAAAAATAATAATAATACAAGTATTTGACTCTGATTATATCTTTATAATGAATCAAGATTTTGTACCAAAAATATATTTGCCTGAAACATAATAAATCATGCTAAAGCTCATGTCAATAGTTATTTTAATCATATTTCTTACCCTTTTCTCAACACGTTATATAATTTTAAGTCACAATATTTTTTCTGTCCTCTTACATCAACGCTGACGGACGGATCTGTATTGGTGTAAGTGTGTGCAAGTGCACACACAAATTTTTGGAAAAAAGAAAAAGAAAAAGTATATTTTGTGTCCTCAACAAAAATTAAAATTACAGGGCCCAATTGAATCTCTTAGAAAAAAAAAAAGACGACTCTCGATCTTCTAAATTAAAAAATAAATTTGGTTAGTTGAAATTGTGGTTCTTCTGAAATTCAAAAAAGACCTACATTAGTCCTCAAAAAGACTAACATGAGACTATTTTGAAATTCAGATAGATCACGAGTCAATTTTTTTCTAAGAGATTAAATTAAGTTCCGTAATTTTTGTTGAGGACTCAAAATGTACTTTATTTTCATAGTAAGTTTCAGTTTCCTTTCTTTTTGTTTTTTAATACATTTAGAACTTTTTTAAAAAAGATTTTTGGGGGTTTTGCCACTGAACCCCCCTTTCTAAATGTTCAAACATAAATAAAATTATTTGTTCCGCCACACACTGAACACTGAGGTTAGTGGATCATTCAAGGTTAAAAGTTGATACGATAGTAATGACAAAAGAACTAAAAAAGAAAAATATTCATATAATGATCTCTCCTTTGTTTATTGCTTTTTATTGTCTTATACCAATCATTGCATGAATTATTCTTTGGAAAATGCTTGTATTTGATGTTTATCTACTATATCATAATTTCATTATTTTTTTTCTTTTCTATATGTGATTTGCCCCCTGAAATACCGGCCATTAAAGCTGGATAGATTTACATATGTTAAATAGAAAAACTAGTACCAGAAGTCAGAAAATTCTCATTAGCTGGTCCAGGGTGCATCACAGTTCATATAAAAAATTTAGTCTTCAATCCTACAATTTGGCTTTTATAAAACAAAATGTGAATAACCAACATGAGAAGAATATATTATGCTGCTTTACATATATAAAGATATTAATTCAAAGTGATGAACCTTCCATGCAAGATAGAAATTGGAATATTATATGTTTTATATGATTGATTACGCACACTAATTCCACATGATGAATGTGCAAGATAATCTAACAAATCATTATTGCTTTTTACTCGCTTTTCAGGCTGAAACTCATTGTCATTGGTCAATGTATTGCTGTGGACGCCCCAAACAGAAGTTAGGTAACAACTGTTGATTCTTATACAGTTGTCTCTATTTGACAAATTTGCCTTTTTGTTATATAATTCAATCTCACAACTCTTGCTCTAAAGGAACACGGTTTTTACCTAAATTTCATTTTGTGAATAATTCTGTAGCATTTTCATGGCACATAAACATATCCAAGTTGAGAAAGAAACACTCAATATATAAATATATTAATATATATATATATATATATATATATATATATATATATATATATATATATATATATATTAAAAAATCAACGGGTTCCGAAATCTTAATAAATCCAAATAATTCGATTTTGAATTTGTGTCTCTTTATTTTCCAAAAAATTGAGACTCTCACCATTTGAACTCACAACTTTTTGAACAGGTTAAATCCTAAGGTCTAACAAGTTTACCACAAACAACTCTTTGGTACATTCAAATACTTTTACTAGCCTAATTTAGAGCTTCTTGATCATGATTTGAGTGAAATTTTGTTACTAAACAAATCACAAAATTTATGGGCTAATCTGATTTATATTATGAAATTCTTTAATTTGTTAGAAATAAAAATTATAAATGAAATCAATCATATCATTTAATGATTTTCAATACACTGATTTTTGGTTTTCATTTCCCTAATAATAATAATAATAATAATAATAATAATAATAAATTGTCACCGAACTAATTAAAACCCCCATTCACAAAAGCCTAATTGTAAAGATTTTGAAACTATGAAAAACTAAAAAAGTGCTTGTTTTCCATTTTGAATATAGTTTTTCTAATTGATTTTCTCATGTTTCGGTTTCATTTTAACGTGACCATTTAATGTGAAAATTCTTACTTATTATACATTAATGGCCAATATATTTTTTTAAACTGATCTTAATTACCTTTGAGGCGAATCAGAACCTTTGGTATCCCCATGGATTCGACTCTTTGAGCCGCCTATGAGACTAATTCAGAGTTCGGGTGCGAGTCCAAAGATTACGGTACTTATGCCCCTCCTCAGATGGTGTTGGTGGGATTTGAACCGAAGTTCTCTCCCACCACTCAGTCCCCATGCTACCAACTGAGCTACCACATTTAAGTATAATGGCCAATATTTAAAATAATAATTTTCTCTTATCAATTTTTGACATTAAAACTATAATTACTGATTGGTTAAAGAATAATTGAAATTTCAAACATGAATTCTAGAATGAGATAAGAGAAAATTCATTATTTTTTTATCTTCTTTTCATATTATGGACACACAAAGATCAAAGCAAGTATTATAATCACATTCACATCACATCATACCTATATTTTTTATAATTACAAGGAACTATTCATTTTCCTACATAGGACCCATCCTTGCGGGTGTTTGGTTGAGGACATTTTTTTGGAATAGTAGGGAAATATAATAGATAGAGAAATGATTGAAAAAATAGATAAAGTGAGATAGGTAGAAAAATGTAAAAAAAAGTTGTTTGGTGGGAAAAAACTTTACTGGGAAAATTAGATAACTTTATGAAATCAACAGTACATTAAAAGCCAGATAACCGGTTTTTCGAAAAATCTCACCTTCAAATTGGGTTTCTAAACAGTGCGGATATCTATGTTTCTTATAAATCCATACAAATTGGATAGATGGGTTTTTGGTGAAAATACGTTGAAACAAACATGGTGTTTCTAAAAGCCATACTTGAGAAACATAGATATTCGCTGAAAAGTTCCCAACCAAACACCACCTGAGAGGAACAGGAACAGTGACCAAAGTGTCACGCTTGGACAAAAAATTATCAAACTGTTACGCCAACAGTAAATTTTGCCAAAATACCACGCGGCATAATTCGCTACACAGTGTAGCGAATTATGCATGTAAGTAATTCGCTACACAGTGTAGTGAAATATGCCACGTCAGACCCAAAAATGCCACATATCAAATTTTGAGAAATTCGCTAGGGAATTACTTTGGGTCTGACGTGGCATTTTTGGGAAATTTTGAGAAATGCCACGTTAGACCCAAAAATGCTACCCTAGCGAATTTTTCAAAATTTGACATGTGATATTTTTGGATCTGACGTGGCATATTTTGCTACACTGTGTAGCGAATTATGTCGCGTGACATTTTGACAAAATTTACTATTCACATGACAATCTGATAATTTTTTTGTATTTGCTCAGTGTTCCTTCCTCCATGAGAATCCAAAAAAACAATACAGTATTTACATCACACACACACCTATTAGTATCAGTGTAGAGTCTCCACCATACCACACAACATTGTTTGACATAACTTCCCTTTCAAGGCCAATCCTCTTTATCTTTCACTCGTTCTCTCCAAGTTGGCATTTTCTTACAAAAGCATTTTTCTCACACCTTTGTCATAAAAGCCAAAAAAACACACACACCCTTCTTCACCCCATTGCTCATTCTTCTTCTTCTCTCTCTCTCTCTTTCTCTTTCTCTTTCTCTGTCTAAAGTAAGTGCCGTGCATGAACTTTTGTCTGGGTCACTCCGTGACCGTGGTGATCATAAAGTTATTGTCTTTTTAGTAATGGGTTCTTGTTATTCAGTTCACAGAAACACTGATACAGACATGAAGCTCAAACTTTCATTTGGGTCCAAAACTGAGAAACTTGTGATTCCTCCATCACCCATCAAGGAACAACCCAAAAAGGGCAACTTTAGGTGGTCACCGTCTCGGTCAATGACCACCTTCACTGACTATGGTATGGTCCTTGTTGGTTTTTTGCTTCAAGATTTGTGTTCATAATTGTTGCAGATTCATAGGTTTTTTTTTTTTTTTTTTTTCTCTTCTGCTTATTTTTATTAATATATGAATGTTTCTGGGGATTTCATTTTGACGTGTGATCTGGCTATTGTTGTGGGGTCTCTGAAGAATTATCAATCTCTTAGTATATGTGTTTGAAGAAATACATTTTTATTTGTCTTTTTGTTTTTTAATATAAATTGGTTTGCATATGTGATGTTATTCAGTGTTATTGGTGTTGCATTTTGTAATATTTCTGTTTGATTCCTTCCGCTCTCTCCTAATTGGTGATCTATTGGTCATCTTTCTTTATAATTGATCTAATTGTTTTATATATATATATATTTAATTTCTGTTGTATTCACCTATGATTATGTTATAATACCCAAGTAGAAAATTATACTAGTCTCTTGATTTTTTTAAATGAATGTATGAATATGAAGATGTAGATTAATTTTCATTCCAGATACAAGGTCTATTCAATGTTTCTTTATGTTTGGGATGAAAGATATTTTTACCAGAATGAAAACGACTCGCCTCCTAATACAATTTATATGTTATGGTGGACATTAAAAGGGATTGTAAGGACACTAGCAATTCAATTGAAAAGACAACCTTTAATGCCGATTAATTTGTTGAATTTTGGATTAGATTATAACTTCCTTCTCCTTCAATGTCTATCCTGCAAGAGTAATTTAATACAATTTATATGTTATGGTGGACATTAAATGGGATCTTAATTCTAAGGACACTAGCAATTCAATTGAAAAGACAACCTTTAATGCCGATTAATTTGTTGAATTTTGGATAAGATTATAACTTCCTTCTCCTTCAATGTCTATCCTGCAAGAGTAATTTGATGGTAACTTTTGTTTACATGAATTTTCTGTTATATTTTTGTTTAAAAAGAAGAAGGAATCGATTATATAAATGATATGCTTATATTATGGGAAAATAATGCCACAAGTGTCCTTGGAGATCATGGTTTATAAATTGAACATTCTCTCTACTGATTGTGCACATGAAAGTAAGGTTTAGCTACAGTCAATAATCTTATCAGATACCATCTGGGTTTAAGCTTAGGTTTGCATTCACAAACAATATTTGCAGACCAGAACTTCATATTTAGGACACAGTTACTAGAAAATCATGCTCCATGGTTATTTCAGTGACAATTTTGGTTGAGTTCATGATATGCTTTGGTTGGTACTTGATTTATTTTCATATGATGGAGTTCTTTCTTGTAATAGATATCTTAATTGTATTGACTGTTGTTTGTGGTGAATGCTTATAAGTGACAATAGTCCCTGCCTTTGATGCTTCCATCCTTTTGGAAACAGTAAACTAGACTCTAATTATGTTTTTTCCCAGCAAAAAATCAGCATTAGCATCAATATCAACAACCCCTTTAACTCAAACAAGTTCAGGTCGGCAAAAAGATATAAGAAATAAAATGTTGGGTGTCCAAACATTTTAATCTGTCTTTTCTGACCTGTTTCAACATTCACTCTTCCTGAACTACATATTGTTACTTTATGTTGGGTTGGATCTTCCTAGCATGCTAGAACAGAAATAAACTTGCTTGTTCCTGACTTTCCTACATATTTTGTCAAAGTAACCTAATAACTAGTAGTTGAATTCCATTTATCTAAGCCCCAAAAGTAAACAACTGAAGTGATTTTCCCTTCCTCCTTCTTGTAAAATTCCATACTCAAGAATCAAACTTGACAATTCAGTTGACTGAATCAACTGTTTCTTGTTATTATTTCATTTGTTGAAGTACTTTCACGGGTTTCCTTAATATCCATGTTAGCTACTCACATGTAATTTTTTTTTTCCTGTGCAGGTAGCAAAGAGGAAGCATTTTTTGATTCCAAACCCTGCTTAGACTCAGATTGTGAAGATGATTTCTATAGTGTCAACGGTGGTAAGGATATCCTACAACCCCTTTTCCTTTGTACTTTTTATGGCAGAGTATTTTAATTTGTTTGACCATTTTGTCATAATTATGATCTGAATTGTAAGTAGAAAGTGAGACTTTGTAGTTCATTATATGTGAAGGTAAAAATTTGAAGGAAACATAATATTGTCATGATATATAATATGAGCTAGGATATTCTAACTACCTATTTTTTCTACTACCACTTCACTACCACTGTAATCACCATTTGATTAAAGGAAAAGTTGAATGAAGAGAGAGAAAAAAAAATAACTTTTGAATCCAATGGTGATTAAAGTGGTAGTAGAAAAAATAGGTAGTAAGAATATCCTACCTCATATAATATATGGCAGTTTAGTTTGTCATGGGAGGACGAGTATTGGAGTAGCAGCAATGTTGTTCCTTGTGATCAGAAGATCACGGGTTCAAGTCAGTTAAACAACCTTCTATGACTAATCAACCCTCATCCTTACCTTGGCTAGGCGTAGAGTCTTGTGCACCGGGGTTATCCCTTTAGTTTAGTTTGTCATGGATGTTAATATGTTATGTCGTAATCAGCCTTTTTGTAATGCAAGTTTATGAAGAATTCAGAACTAATTTTATATAGTCTATTTCACTTTATGCAGACTTCACACCATCACGAGGTAACACTCCAGTTCATCACACTTTTGGGACCCATGTTGTTAATAATACCCCTTCTGAGAATAGAACTATTGGTTCTATGCATGAACCATCTCCAGAAAATAAAAAGAAATTGTTAGAGCTTTTTCGAGATACTGACAAAGATGATGGCAATGGACAGAAAGAAGTTAAGCCAACTATACAAGATGTTATGCCTAAATCTGCACACTGTACTCCTTATCTCTCTAAGGCTAACTCTGCTTGTAGTAGTGAAAGAGCCATTAGTGAGGATCGTGTATCCATTAGAGAGAAGGTTAAATCTTTTCGGGCCTGCATTCCAAGTTTGTCTTCATGCCGTAGCTTCAGTGAGAGGAGGAGTAAAACAAGTTCTGCAATACAAGTAAATGGAAAACATTGACTTCTATTGCAATCTGATGGAAGTTTCTTTGATATACTTAAGTGGTTGAATTGCATTTTATAATGTACATCACCTTATCCTTGTAAAGAACCATGAAACAATGATTTATGAATCAAAGTGACTACTTATTTTTTTTATATGCTTGGTTTTGTTAGATAAGAGACTATGTGTATGAGTAATTGGTTGTCACAATATATAAGTTTTTTTTGTTTAATGCCCCCAAACTTCAATTTAGTGAAGTCATTCTTTTATCCATATGAGCTCAGATATCGTTATAACAATCAGGGGCGGACCGAGGGGGTGCTAGGGTAGGCGGCCGCTCCCCTCAAAATTTGAAGAAATTTTTTAACATAAGTATAATGTCAAAAATTTTCATTTTTTCTCTCTATTAATGTGAAGTAGTTTTCTCTCACCGCAGAGAGTTTATAGAATTTCTTTATATTCTCAGGTTTATTTAAGATTACATCACAGTGTTGGGAGTATCAGTGACCACCAATAGAGCTACATGGTTTCTCTTAGTTCAAATTCTTTTAGCCACATGGCTCTTGTTTGTTGGCATGGACCTGGTGGTAACAATTAGCATATGAAATTAGCATTAAATTATGGGAAAAGATCTGTTTACAATTTTTTTTACAAATTACACTAAGTATGACCAGTCATACACTCTTGATTAAAGTATGACGGTCAGACACAGTATAGTTTGTAAGAGTTTCTAAACGAAAAGTTTGTAAATATAACATTCCCCTTAAATTATATTTAAACCTCGACTTGAAACTACCAGTTTCAACTTTTATTATGCTTAGATGTTAACACAAATCTTCCCATCCATGAATAAAAATAAGAAGTCCGAGAGCCTTATGAAAGAATGAACCTTATTCTTTCGATCCCTCTCCTTTTCTGATGATTCGTGACAGAGAGGGAAGTGAGGGGCAGCAGAGTTTTGGTGATTGTGCTTCTTGACAATCTGTCTCTTCTGATTTATCTTTAGCTTTTTTTCTTGTTGGGCTCATAGTGAGTAAATAGAAAAAGAGGTTAAGAAATGAGAGGAGTCTGCTTTGAATTATCTATTTAGATTATAGTAATCAGTACATATTTTTTGTGAAATCTAAACCTTTGCTCTCTTCTCTTTTTCTTTGCATAAAAAATGTTCATTTTAGGGGTTGAAAATGTGTAGTTTTTTTCAAATTGATAGTAGATTTTTTCATGACATCTTCCACCTCTCTCTCTCTCTCTCTCCTTCTCTCTATAACAAGTTAAAAGAGGTATTTATGAGTTATGTTTTCTGGATTGGTATTTCGGCCTCTCATATATTGTGATTGAAGAAAGGAACAAATATTTAATTTTTTCGTATTTTGGCCTCTCATATATTATGTTTAGGGGTGTCAATATGGGTTGACACGACACGAATTCGACACGACACGAATACATCAACACGAACACGACACGAATTTTCATTCGTGTCAAAATCTTCAACACTGACACGACACGAATTTTTTGCGGGTTGACACGACACGACACGAATAACACGCAAAATAGGGGACAAAACGGTAATTGATAAAAAAATTTAAAAAAATAGATCGAAAATAAATAAAAAATAAAAAATTAATAATAAAAAAATAAAAAAATAATAATTAAAAATAATACGGGTCGACACGAACACGAATTCATAAACACGAACACGACACGAATTTTTTGCGTGTCATTTTTTCTAACACGAATTTTTTTACGGGTCAACCCGAACACGAATTTTCGTGTCGTGTCGCGGGTCGACCCGCGTGTCAAAACCCATATTGACACCCCTAATTATGTTTGAAGAGAGAAACAAATATTTAATTTTAGTCCCCCACAGAAAAAATTTCTGGGTCCGCCACTGATAACAATGGCTTGATATTGAGGTTATGTAGTAGATTGAGCAACATCATAATGCTTCTTCATGAGAAAATGTTTTCGATTTATCACTGGCAAATATATAATGTACTAAAATGGGTAGATCATCTTTCATACAAAAAAAATAAAATGGGTAGATCATCAATCAACGGGAGAACTAGCTCAATCTGCATTATAAATTATCACCTAAGAACATTTTATTAATTTTTTATTTGAAAAGTTATGTCCAAATGGCAAATGCACTAAATTTATTTGTCATTAGCTCAAAGTTAAGTTATTTAAATTTCATAATTTTTATTAATTCAAATTTTTTAAGGATCAAATTCAGTAAATTTAAAAGAAAAAAAAGAAATTAGCAAGGTGATAAATTAGGCTGATTGACCAAATTGCAAATTTTTAAAAAACAAGTTATATATCAATTTGCACTTGTTTAACCAAAGTTAACCAAATAAACATCACATAAAATCAAGGGCTTCCTATTTCTCATTAGGCTCCACCCGTTTTTTGAAAAAGAGAAAAAGAGAGAAGCAAACTAAGCTCTACCAGTCTTTTGAAAAAGAAAAAGAAAATAAAGTTAGACATGTTGTACAAACTGAGAGTGACGGGAGATGAGCAATTTGCTGCAACGGGAATTAGTTTTGCCTAAAAATTAAACTTAAAAATGTGTGGCTTTATTTGGTGCCCATATATATTCGAGTAAATAACCTACTCGATTAGCTACACGATTTACTTGAGCGAATGGCCCCATTTACTCTAGTATTCAGGATGAGGGAGTTAAATTAACCAAATTGACCAAATTAAAAAAGAGAAAGGAAAACTGTTTATGATAATAAGCAGGGGTGATAAACGACCAACGAGCCTTTCAGAGGCCTTTGGCTCAACTCGTGAACACATGAGTTTACATGTCTAATATGGGTTGTTGAAACCAAACTTGGACTTATATAAAAGCTCGTTTAGTAAAAAGGCCTCATGCTCCAATTCAAAAGCTCGGCCTTGGAGCCTTTCAGGCTGGCCTAGTATATTAATTTTTATTTATATTTTTATACTAATTGTAATAACCCTCTCTCTCCTCTCAATCCATTTCACCCATATTTTATTAGTTAAACAGACTCTTTAAATGATTTTATTTTATATTATGCTGTTTGGATATACATTGAATTTATGAATATTTATGGAATTACTAGTGTTGTTGATTGTATATTATGTTTGGATAAATTTTTGTTGTCTTATTTTTTTTCTAACAGGCTAAATCAGGCTTTTATTTTTTGTAAATAAGGTGGGCCACATGCCGATAATTATATTCGTAACAGGTAACGGGCTTGGTAAGGCCGACACATTTAAATATAGGCTTAGCCTTTTAAGACCAAAGCTCGGCTCGGCTCGGCCCGTTAACACCCTAATAATAAGGAAAGAAAAACAAATAAGAAAATAAAAAAATTCAGTCCACCCAATTTTTTTTTTCAAATTAGGAAAGAAAACGAAAAATTAATAATTATATTATTATTATCGATAATAAATTTGATATTTTTGAATTTGTAAGAATTTTAAATATCATTGTATGACCATATTATTATTATTATTCATTATGATTTTTCTTTCCTTATTTATAAAAAAAATATCGTGTGGGTTGAATTTTTTTTTAACTAAAAAGAAAAATAATAAATAGTTAAATTTTATTTACAATAATAAATTTGATATTTTAAAATTAGTTGAAATTTCAAAAAAATTACCCTATAAATGAGAATCATATATTGATATACCTACAAATTAAAAAATAATAATATGATTATTATTTTTCCTTTTTCTATTCTTATTTGTTAAAAAAAAATCGAATGATTGAGTTTTTTAGGACTAAAAGGAAAAAAATAAATAGTTAAATTTTTATTATCAACAATAAATTTGATGAACTTGAATTTTCAAGAATCCAAAAGATTGAGCCATTGTATTGTTTTTCCTTTGTTAAGTTTTTTTTATCTCACTAGATATTTTAGCAAGATTTCAACGAAATATTTTCATAATATATAGTCTAGTGCTATAAAATATTATAAAATATATATGGATGACTTTTGACTATTCATATACCTCATAATAATGACTTTTGATTTTCCATTACTTTTTCTTTTTTTGGTAAACTGATTTTCCATTACTTTGATATAAAATAAAAAATAAAAATTATATGACACAATTTTGAGTTTTTTTCATACGACTAAATAGATGTCAAATATTTTGTCATTTTTAATTTATGAATTATGTGTATTTTTGAATTTGAATATATTTTATATTATTTGATTTTAAATACATATATATATATATATATGTATATATTACTTTATGAAAATTTTGATTTATTATTTAATTTATTTTATAAATTAATATATATATATATATATATATATATATATATATATATATATATATGTATGTATGTATTAAATTACACTAATTTAAAATTATTAAATTATTAAATTATAAGTTAAACTTGTTGCTATGTATAAATGTCGTATATATAGCAATAATTTTGTGTTATGCTATCCATTATTTTTAGCAAATCAAATGGCCCTTATTATAATATGACTTTGATGATTCTCATAATTACTGAAACATGATAACTTGCTATTTTTTTTATTTTATAGATCAAAATGATATATATTTATAAATACAAGAAAATAAATTGAGATACAAATTGTGTCAATCTTAGTTTGAGATATTCTAAAGAACCAAATTAAAAATAAAATAAATAAAAAACTAATGTACAACGACTTGTGTCAATCTTATTCCCAAGGTCATATTTGGTTGAACGGAATGACAGGAAATAGGAATAGTGTGGCAATGAAATTGAATGAAATGTTCATTTTTATATTTATTTGGTATTAACAAAAATGATATGACAATTGTATTTTATTTTATGTTTGATATACTATAATAGATAAAATAAAATAGCGAAAATTATTTATAAATTTCTGGTTAAACAGGCTTGGGTTGACCTTTTTCAGACTTACTAGCTTTTCAAGTAGGCTTGGCCTGAGTTGGTCCAAGCATATTTATTTAAAATCTAAGAAAACATAACATAGGTTAAAATGATTTTTGGGGCTAAGGAGGGGTATTGGATAGGCCGGCCCATTTTTTGCACTATGGTTTGGTGGGATGAAATAGGAATTTCATGACTTTTATGATAATACACATATGGGAATGGATCTTAAAATTTCACATGATCTGATTATAAAATTTTTGT